AATAAGGATTGATCCAATAGGTTACAGAGAATTGGTGGGGGAGGAAGGAATCAAAGTTCCAGTCCCCAATCTGCTAGTCTCCTCATCCTGTATGCCACTAGCCTATATGCCTTCTACATGAATATAACCTGAAAAGCAAACTGGCTTGGGAGCCCAAATGACAATACAACACTGGAGGTATCCCAGACTTGAGCTACCTCAAGTCCCTCAACTTCAAGTTCCATTTGTGGCATTAAATCTAAGAGAACTCAGAAGGGTCTGTCTAGGAAGGAGAAGGGGAATTTTAGCTCTAGGATCATATGCTCTGCTTTCACCATAAAACTTCAGCCCATGGCCAAATTATTTTACCCTTCCATGTTTATTAGTTTGCTAGGGTTGTTGGAACAAAGCACCATAAGCTAAGTGGCTTAAACAACAGAAACTTATTATCTCACAGTTCTGGAGGCAAAAGTCCAAAATTAAGATGTCAACAGGATTGGTTACTTCTGAGGGCTGGAATAAAAAGCCTCTCTCATTGGCTTGTAGATGGCTATCTTCTCCCTGCATCTATTCATTTGGTCTTTCCTCTATGAATGTCTAACTCTGCGTCCAGATTTCCCCTTTTCAAAAGGATAACAGTCATATTGGATTAGTGCTCACTTCATTTTAACTTGATTAACTCTATAAAGACCTCTTCTCTAAAAAGGTCACATTTTGAGGTGCTTGGGGATAAAATTCCATCTTTTTTTGTGAAAGGGACACCATTCCACCCATAACACAGTGCATTTAGTTACATTAATTAAGTTAAATCATTTAAAATGCAAAATGATACTTAATCCATCTAGTCATATATCACCTCCTGAGAATCTGGGAAATCTGACAATATAAAGAATGAATCATGGATTATTTTAGGAGAAAACATGTTAAACCTATATTGGAAAAAGTCCCCATGGAAATAAAGAAATCACACTGAATAACAGTATTCTTTTTTTGTAAGAGTTCTACTCAAAATAGAAATAGAAAATGAAGAACTCATGGACTAAGAAAAAATGATGTACAATTTATAGTTTTGTTTTTTAACTTTCTTTTTCAGAGAATGAAAAAGCTCTCAGTTTGTAAGGCTCTCAAATGCATTTGTAACTAACATTTACAAATACAGTAAAAGTAATTCAGAAATACTTTGGTATTTTAGATGAATAGTAGGGAAAATGAATAATTTGAAATAATATGATTTGCAAACAATCATTTAAAAAGTATCTTAAGATATCTGTCAAAGAGCAGAAATCATATTTTCCTAACTTATGTATAATAGCTGATTTAAAAAATGCACAGTATATGCATTATTTAACTTTGAATTTCATCCTTCACCAAAAGTTATAAACCCACAACTTATGACATAGTATACAGAAGCCTTTGTTCCATTCAGTTACAATGCCTCTGCCCGATTTTTGGCTCCTTTGACTGTGGGAGAACCTTGATTGGGGGGATAGAAGGCCCTGGAGCAGGCAGGGAGAGAGAAGCCGTTGAGATTAGAGGTGGGAATGGTAGAAGAGCTTTGGGCTTGAGGCTGGAGCTTGAGGGAGGGAGAAAGACTGGAAAAGCTAAGGCCTTTGTACAGACGAGACAGAACAGCACGGTGAGGGAGTTGGGAGGGAGGGCAGGCCACAAGAGGAAAGGCAGAGAAGGCCCTTTTGAGAAGGCTCAGTTGGAGCTAAGGAGAGAAGGCTGTGGGGAAAGGAAAAGTATTTGAGTGGGGGCAAGAAATATTTGGAGAGGGAGGTGAGAAAGACTTTCAGCGAGGAAAGTGAGGCAGCAAGACCACTAAGTAGAATGAAGGAAAAGAAGAGTTTGGGGAAGAAGGAGACAGTACCTTTGAGTGGTAAAGAAAGAAACTTCTGAGTGGGGAGGTGGAGGGAGAGGCTTTGGAGGGCTAAAAGAGGCATCTAAAAAGACTGAGTGAAAAAGGCCTGGAGGAGGGTAAACGAGGAGGTAAAAGAAGGATTTTGACTGAGGGAAGGAAGGGCTTTGTGACGGTTCAGTTATAGAGAGGACAATGTGAGGTAAGTGAATTAAGGTATTTTCAAAGGGAGGTGAGAGAGAGAAGACCCTGAGTGAGGGGAGTAAAGGGCTTTGTGAGATAAAGAAGACAGGCTTTTGAATGAGGGAAGAGGAGGCCTGTAAGGTGTGCAAATAAAAGTCTTTGTGGGGAGGTGAAGAATTGAAAGGACCTTGATTGAAAGTTGAGAAGAACTTTTGAACTGTGATAAGGGAGGGAAGACATTGGTGGAGTGAGGTGATGGAGAGAAAGCCTTTATGAGAGTAAGTAAAGAAGAGAACTTCTTTAAGGAAAAAGTTGAAAAAGGGAAGTACATTGTGAGAGTAAAGGAGGTAGGGGAGGCAACCATAAAAGAATGGAAGGCCTTGGGATGCAGCAGGGAGCAAGGAAAGGTCTCTGTGAAAGTAAATGATGGAGAAAGGAATCCGAGGGGTGAGGTAAAGGGGGGGTTAGTAAGATAGATTAGAGATGGAAGAGCTTTAAGGGAGGGGAAAATGGAGGCTAGTACTTTGATTTTTGCATGTTGATCTTGTACCCTGCAACTTTGCTGAATCTGCAAGAACATGAAAAAATCAATTGTGCTTCTATATACCAGCAATGAACAATCCAAAAAGGAAATTAAGAAAACAATTCCATTTATGATAGCATTCAAAAGAACAAAATATCTAGGAATAAAATGTACCCAACAAGGTTAAAGACTTATACCCCGAAAGCTACAAAACATTGTGGATAAATAAGTGAAAAGATATCTCATATTTATGGATTGAAAGACCTAATACTGTTAAAATGGCGAGACTGTCCAAAGTGATCTACAGATTCGTGGCAATCCCTACCAAAACTTCAGTGGCCTTTTTGCATAAACGGAAAAGCTGATCCTTAAAGTCACATGTAATTACAAGGGACCCTGAATGCTCAAAACGTTATGAGTAAAAACCAAAATTGGAGAACTCACATGTCCCAATTTTTCAACTTGCTACAATGCTATAGTAATCAAAAGAGGAGGATACTGGCATAGGGATAGATACACAGACCAGTAGAATAAAACTTAGAGTCCAGAAATAAGTTCATAAAAATACGTTCAACGGATATTCCACAAGGGTGGCAAGACCATTCAATGGGGAATGAATAGTCTCTTCAACAAATGGTGCTGAGACAGCTGGATATCCACACGTAGAAAGAATGACGTTGGGCCGCTAACACACACCACATACAAAAAAATTAATCCAAAATGGATCAGCAACCTAAATAGCAGGGCTAAAATCACAAAACTCTTTAAAGAAATCACAGAATATTTATGACTTTGAATTTGGCAATGGATTCTTAGATAGATATGACACCAAAAGCACAAATGACAAAATAATTTAAAAAAACAAACAAATAAATTGGACTTCCTCAAAACTAAAAGCTTCTGTCCATCCAAAAAAAAAAAAAAAACAAACATTAACAAGAAAGTAAAAAACCAACCTACAGAATGGGAGAAAATATTTACAAATCATATTATCCAGAATGTATCAAGAACTCTTACAACTCAGGGGCGCCTGGGTGGCTTAGTCGGTTAAGCGTACGACTTTCGCTTAGGTCATGATCTCGCGGTTCGTCGGTTCGAGCCCCGCGTTGGGCTCTGTGCTGACAGCCAGCTCGGAGCCTGAAGCCTATTTCAGAGTCTGTATCTCCCTCTCTCTCTGACCCTCCCCTGCTCACGCTGTCTCTCTCTCTCTCTCTCCCAGAAAAAAATAAAAAAAAAAAAAAAAAAGAATTTAAGGACGTAGTTTAAAAAAAAAAAAAGAACTCTTACAACTCAACAACAAAACCACAAACAATCTAGTTAAAAACAGCCACAGAACTTGAACAGGCCACTTGGAAACAGTATGTATCCCGACTAAATCGGACCCCATCACAGAAATTCTTGGCATATACGTTGCCTTCTTTATTTAGTGATAAAAATCAAGGCCTTGGACAATGTAAAACTTTCCTTATCCTTCTTCCTCAATACTTAAAACAAACTACATTTAGTTTTCTCTGCATGATTCTCTCCTATATAAGAGGAAAGTATAGCTACCTTTGAACAGACATTTCTCTATAGAAAATATACAAATGTCTAAAAGCACATGAAAAGGTGCTCAATATCATTAGTCTTTACAGAAATACTAATGAAATCCATAATAAGGTATCACTTATACACACTAGGACGGTGATAATCAAAGAGGGGAAGGGAGGGTAATAAATGCTGATGAACTTGGGATCCTCACACACTTAGTGCGAACATAAACCGGTTCAATCACTTTGTAAAACAGTTTGAGACTCCCTCAAAAAATTCAGCACGGAATTCCCATATGCCCCAGCAATTTTACTCCTAGGTGTAGGCCCAAGAGAGCTGAAATCACGAAAACTCAAATGGGAATATTCACAACACTGTTATTCGCAACAGCCAACAACTGGAAATGACCCAAAGGCCCACCAAGTGAGAAACGGATAAACAAAATGCGATACAGTCACACAACAAAATATTATCCAGCCACTGGAACGAAATGAAGTACTGACATCTGTTCCCCCGGGCGCAAATCTCGAAAACACGACGCGAAGTGAAAGAAGCCGCGAACAGAAGGACACGGGTTCTACGTTCCGTCTATACGAACCATGCCACAGCAGGTGCATCGGCAGACACAGAAAGCCAGGGTGGTTGCAGGGGCCCGGGGGGGGGGGGGGGGGCAAGGTGACTGCGGGGCGCGCGGGTGTGCTTTTACACCCGCGGGGACGGAGGCAGTTTGGAACCAGGATTCCAGGGGAGGCCAATTTCACGTCTCTTTTTCAAAAAGAGGCAGGGAGGCGAGGAAGGCCACAATCCTGAGAGGAGGCTTCCGTGGGAGGGAGGGCACGACCAGGAAGCTGGCGAGGGCAGGACTCGCGACCCCGCCGAGGGGAGCGGGCGGGGCGGCGGCAGGGGCCACGGGCGCGGGGAACTCACCGGCGCTCAGGAAGTAGCACAGCACCAGCAAGGCGCAGAAAGAGATCAGGTACACCCAGAGGCGCCTGTGTCCCAAAATCTTCAACAGAGAGTGGCGAGTCTCGGCCCCAAGGCCGCGCAGGGACGCCTGCCGGCCCAGCTGAGGCATGGCGGCGGCGCCTTCCTCGAGCCCGGGGACGCTGCCTCCCGGGTGCAACTCGACGGCCGGGTTTTCCGCGCTGCACGCGGGAGCAGAGCTTATCATCCTGACACGGGGCCCCCGCAGGGCCGGGGTCTTGGACTTGGTCCTCCTCCTCGACGACTTCCCCTCAGAAGGCATGGCTCCGGACTGCAGCCTCGCCAAGACGACACCTCAGAACCGCCGGCCTATTTCCCACAAGCCCCTGGGCCAGTGACGCTTGCGTAGCACCCCTCAGCCGCACGTGCCAACCGCCGTCCTCCGGCCCCGCCCCTTTTTAAAGCCTATCGGGCGGAGGGCGGGGCTTGGGGGCCCACCCCCATGCAAGGCCTGGCCCTCTAGTGCTTATGGAACGTAGTGGAAGGAACGAAAGAATGGGGCCTGAGGCCTGTGCGACTGCTTGTCCACGATGGCAAAATACCTCGTGAGAATTCAGACTCCAGCTTTGGCGGCGAATTCTCCCTCAGTCCCTGTGGCGCACGCACGCTGTAGGCTCTGCGGTGACTCCAGTTAGTCCCCGCGGGGCTGAAGACATAGCCACTAGCCAAATGTGGCCATTTAAATGTAAATTCTAAGTCAAGAACACTAAATGGAATAGGGGCACCTGGATAGCTCCGGTCCTGATCTCACGCTTGGTGATATCAAGCCCTGCCCTCGGCTCTGCATTGACAGTGCGGAGCCTGCTTGGGATTCTCTCGCCCCTCCCACTCTGCCCCTCCCCCACACGCGTGTGCACGAAACCTTTTAAAAATATTTTTTACATTAACTTTTTAATGTTTATTTTTGAGAGAGAGAGAGAGAGGAAGGGGCAGAGAGAGAATTCAAAACAGGCTCCATGCTGTCGGCCCATGGCCAGACGTGGGGCTCGAACCCAGGAACCATGAGATCATGACATGAGCCAGAGTCCAGCACTTAAACAACCGAGCCACCCAAGCGCCCTCCAAAAATAAAACTTCTTTTAAAAGAAATGGAATTAGGAAACCAGTTCCTCAGTCACACGCATGTGAAGTGCTCACTAGCCATACATAGCTCCTTGTGACCATATTGGACAGGGCCAAATTGGAGCATTTCCTTCAGGGCAGAAGGGTGAATTGGCAGAGCGGGGTGTGCACAGTGACTATGGTGAATATGGTAGATACTCAGTAGGCTGTTACACTGTAGTAGGAGCGTTTAAGTGGAACAAAATATTTGCCTTCAGAGATTTTAAGGTTTAGTTACAAATAAATGAGACAGACAAAATGAGAACAAAGAACGTGTGAGGAACAGTAAAGAATGCTTCGGAGCACTTAGATTTTATTCCCATCATTTGCCACCAATGAATTGGGTGGCCCTGAGTGCCTTCCTGCTGGGCCTCAGTGCTGCAGTGTGCATATAGAGTTAGCACGGTCTCTAAGCCCCTCTCTGATTCTAAGATCTCACCCTCAGGCAAAATCCCAGTAGCTTGCAGGGTTTGGGGCCACCTGCAAAAGGATCATGCAGTTGATGCTGGTACCCGTTAGCTCACCTCACTGGAGTTTTCGAGGGATGTGAAAACTGCCCCCTCTCAACCGCATTTCCACCCTTATTCTTGCAATATTTTACTTTGGCTTTCCAAATGGTTTTCTACAGATTTTATTCTATCGTTCTTATGGTTCTCTACGATGTTAATAGGCATTCCGTAGGGGGAAAGAGGGAGGAAGGTTCTATGCAAATAATTCTTGAAACTTGGCCCACTCCACCCCACACCCCACATCCAGGAGCAATTTATAATGCTCTTTAGTTGATTAAAGGATCTCACAGGAAAAGAACCTGCTTTTCCTTCCTTGTATTTTTTATAATTTTTTTTTTTTGCCTCAGCTTTTCCCAAACTAATTTAACCAGAGGACACCTGTCCCACACAACACTATTAGCAGCTTTCTTAAACTACTGCTTGTGACTCTAAGAAACTGTGAAGTATTTGAAATTTTACCCTACTTGTGCGAAACGAGGTAGCCTGCTGCAGTTTCACAGATGCTGGCAGAAAGTGCAAGACAACCGGGTCTGAGAGAAAAGGTGGAAGCTTCCCTGACACATGCAGAAACTTGAGAGACCCAGGGACAGTTGCTTCCCCACAGCAACCTCGCTCATGTCACAGCACATGTGGAAAACGATCGTGTGACCAGGTACCATGCAGCCACCCTGAGGGCTCAGGGGATTAAGTTAGAGTATTCGGGTTGGGCACTCAGCTCTTGACCACTTCACAGACTATGCCTTAGTTTCCCTGTCTGCAAATCATGGGCTTCGGGCAGCCTGATTTTGAAGATTCCTTCCAGCTCTGGCTTACTATGACTAGTCCTTGACAGTAGCACTTGAGGTTGCTGTAAACAAGACATGGCAGTTCTACAACAGTGCAGTGCGCCTAAGCGTGCCACATTATACCATTAGAAACCCAAATTACCAGGGTGCCTGGGTGGCCCAGTCCATTAAGCGTCTAACATCAGCTCGTGTCATGATCTCACAGTTAGTGAGTTTGAACCCCACTTGGAGCTCTCTGCTGTCAGCACAGAGCCTGCTTCAGATCCTCTGTCTCCTCCTCTCTCTGCCCCTCCCCCCTTCAAAAATAAATAAACATTAAACAAAAAAGGAACCCAAATTACTAACAGGAACTCAGAGGGACAAAATCCTTAAGATTATGCCTGAGCAATCCCTGGATTACATAACACTAATTCAAGATTGGGGACACAAAAAGCCATGTGAAGTGTCCATTTTGAAGATTATCAGATGGGCAACTTAAAATTCTGCACTGGCTTTCCTTTTTCATTCTATAATCTCAAGAGAGCTAAATATGATACTAGTCAACCCAGACCTAATTAGGGAGGAAAATCTGTTGCATGGGCATGAATACAAGAACTGCTTCACGGGATGGTACATACCACTGCTCAGAATGTGACTACTGTTCTTGTGGAAAATTGAGAATTGACCCTATTTTGTAAATATCACTTTAGACAGACACGAAAAGATGCTCAACCTCGGGTAATCAAGGGAATGCAAACGAATCAACAATGAGATACCATTTTATGCTCATCAGATTGGCGCAAATTAATAAATATTCATAAGAAGATGCAGAAATAGAAATTCAGTCATTGCTGGTGGAGATGTAAGTGGTACGACCACATTGGAGTGCATTTTGACAACACTTTGTACAGCTAAATATCCACATAGTCTGTGATGTAGAAATTCCACTTTTAGGCATGTATCCTGTCATCCATGTGTGAAAGGAGACATGTACAAAGACGTTCATTGTTATAGCGAAAGCAAAGTAAATGATGTCTCAGTAGGGAAATGGAAACACAGTGTAGTTCATTCCTATGATGTAGTATACAGTATATACTACGTATATAGTATACTCATATAATGGTGACCAGGATCAATCACCTTAGCCAACATAGTAATTCTCCTTTCTGCTGCTCTGCCTAGTGGCATGAAGTGGCAGTCCCAGCTTCTAGTTCAGTGGAACCACTGTTGTGTTCCCTGGAAGTAACAGCCCTCTCTTAGATAATAAGTTTCTAAAATAGCTGAAACCAGAATTGTGGGAATGAGAAGCGAAGTGCAAAATTTTTGCAAGTGTGTTGTTAGGTATTTTTCACCACCACCCTTTAGTTCTTAGTCCTCGGGGTCTGGTTATGGGAGAAACCACGCTGTATGTTGATTATTGGCCCTAGTTCAGAGTGCACAACACATCCTTCAAGAAGGTAAGTACCTTACAGGGCACTTTCTCCTAGCTGGTGTCATACAGAGTTTTCAAGAAATGACTTCGTTGTTCCATTAGGCCAAACTCCTTTTGTTTTTCTGCTTTATTAAGGTATAATTGATAAAAGTTAAGATATTTAAAATGTACACATGGTGATTTGATATACACGTACACTGTGAGGATTCCCTTTATCTAGTTAAGACAACTATTACCTTACTTATTTTCCTTTCCGTTCCTTTTCTTTTTTCTTTTCTTTTCTTGTGAGAACATTTAAGTTCCATTCTCTTAGCAAGTTTCAATTATATAATACAGTGTTATCAACTATAGTCACCATGTTTTACATTAGATCCTCAGACTTTATTCATCGTATAGCTGAAAGGTTCAACCCTTTTACCAACCTCTCCCTAATTCCTCCACCTCCTAGCTGCTGCCAATCACTTTTCTCTCTCTGTTTCTGTTTCTATGAGTTTACCTTTTCTTTTCTTTTCTTTTTTTTTTTTTTTTTAGAAATTTAAGATTCCATATATAAATGATACCACAAAGTATTTGCTTTCTCTCTCTGGCTTATTTTATGAAAAAAAAATCATTTATTGGACTGTGTTCTAAACAAATTGTTGTGACTACTGTTGAGTTGTAATAATAGATATGTAAGCTCCCATTCAGCACATTGTAATTACATATCCTTCAATTAACGTCATATTTACATGGAGGTTAATTTGGAGAACTTTCAGTTAGGCAACCCATAACATGCAATGGACTCAAAAACATATGCTCATTTTTGAGAATAAGTTCATCACAGTTTAAAATCATTCAAGCTCACTTCAGGTATAGTTCATGTCTCTAATACTTGTGTGTTTAAGCAATGAGAGCCCAGTGATTGTAAAGACAAGGACACAGGGGCCCCTGGGTGGCTCAGTCGGTTGAGCATCTGACTTTGGCTCAGATCATGATCTCGCAGTTCCTGAGTTGAAGCCCCAAATAGGGCTCCCTGCTGTCAGCTCGAGCCCGCCTCGGATCCTCTGTCCCTCTCTCTCTGCCCCTCCCCCACTTGCACTCTCTCAAAAATAAATAAAACAGGGGGTGTGGTATGATGGAGAAGTAGGAAGCACTGTACATTTCGCCTGCACTCATCTTTCAAACAGAGAAGGCCTGAAGTCGTAGGACACTGAGCCACAGGAATTTGGGAAGAGAAAGAGACAGAGTACACTGGGAAGGAAACCTCATAAGTGTGTGAGTGTGAACTGGGGAAGGTAAAAGCGGGACGGGACCAGAGACACGGAGGGAAGGAGGGAACCCGGCCTGCGTGCAGCTGCCATGATTGATAGACCGGCGAGTGGTGGCGAGCTGCCGCGAGTCTAGGGGAAAGGGAAGAAAAGCTGAGATTGCTCACAGAACCGTCCCTGGAGAAGAGGGGAAAAAAACCCCACGGCTTGGAAAGACAGTGTTTTGTAGCTCAGGCTGGGGTGCTGACTTTAAACTAGGCG